CCATCCATCCATCCATCCACTCACTCATCCATCCCTCCATCCCTCCATCCCTCCATCCATCCATCCACCTATCCATCCACTCATCCATCCATCCACTTACCCATCTATCCACTCATCCACACCTCTTTATCCACTCATTCACCCATCCATCCATCCACCCTAGTCACGCATTCACCCACCCATCCATCCAACCATCCACATTATACAGTACGTACTGTGAAGCCAGGACCTGTTCTAGCCACTCAGGAAGGCTGGAGATGAATAATACAAGTGTCCTTCCTTCAGGAGCTCCTCCCTACCTCACAGAGGGGGAGACCCAAAGTGATCATTACAGTGCAGTGGGAGCATGCCCTGAGAGAGGTATGCCAGGCTGTTACTGGAAAGCATGGATGGGCCTCCCAGACCACCCAGCTAAAACTCGGAATGCACTGAGGTCACTCCAGTGCTTCCCTAGACTCTGGTTCCAACATCCTCTAGAGCTGAACCAAGAATATAGAGAAGGCTGGCCAATTTGAACCTGGTCCATAAGACACATACCTTGTAACAATAATAACTACAGTTTATAAAGCATCTACTATTAAACATCCTGTCTAAGAGCATCCAGCAAAAGAGGTAAAGCCAGAAGTGAAATCCAGAGGCCTGGACTCCCTACCATATCACCCTGCTATCTTGTTTAGTCAGTTTTTGAGGTCCCTTTAGTCCTGATTCTAGTGGGCATGAGATCAGTGTGTTATTAAGAAAAAAAAAATACACAAACCTGATGAAAGCTATTACTCAGGAGTCTCCCCTTAGTTACACACATAGGATGACCAACTTGTCCCAGTTTGCCTAGGATTGTCCTGGTTTTAGCATGGAAAGTCCCACATTCTGGGAAACTGCCCAGTTCCTGGCAAACCGGGATGGTTGGTCACTCTATGCCCACAAAACACACCACGTTAACTTAAACTCAAGCTCAGAAGAGGAGAGGAAAAAAGAGTGAGATTGGATACCCTATGTCCACTTTGTATGGCAAACGAACGACACCATGTCACCTCTTCCTTGTGGAGGAGCCCAGATTTCTGCACATGGGGGGTCAAGTTGCTGAAACATGCTCTCGACTCTTTTCAGGCTTGCTTTTCTCTGGAGGATGTGAGAGACCCTAGAAGTAGGCACTCAGATCAGTTGTGCATCTTCAGAAAGCTCTGAAGACAGCATCGTTTTTCTTCATGATACTTCTGTACCAAGCAAATGAGTTGGTTCAGTTGCCTGGGCTGAGTGTATGAGTCAGCAAACAGCTGAGGGTCTCAGGATTAAGATGTAGTCATGCAACTGGGATGTCTTCAAAAATCGCCTCTTCGAATCCACTAGAGAGCAAATCTTTCTGAGTTCTGACTGTGGTTATAATTAAGAGTTAATTTTCATGTGCTATAACTATAACCCCATCCATTTCCTTTTTTAAAGCAGGCTCCATGCCCAATGTGGGGCTCCGAGATCAAGAGTCACATGTTCCACAGACTGAGCCAGCCAGGAGCCCCGACCTCATCTTTTTTGAGTTATACTGCATTCTCTTTAAACAAAAAATTGTCAAACGATAGTAGCCTTAACAGAACTGTGGGGAGAAGATTTACAACACACAGCAAATAAGTACTTCTCAGCCAAGTGGTTTTTAAATAGCCACTTACATTTAAGAAGTAATACAAATCATTCTTATTTACTTCAAATCATTCCCTTATAGATATAAGTCTACAATGTACTAGAATAGTTCCAGTTAATGAATATACTCAAAAACAAAATAATTTTATTCCTTTGAAAAATATTATTTATTTCACACAAATACTAATTTAGGTTAGCCTTCCCTAAGATAATCGTGTAGGTTAGCAGGATTTTATTACTCTTTATTCCCATGAACTAATATTTTTAAAAAAAATCTCTCTGAATTGAAACCTAAGTAAAAAAAGGAACAGAAAGGAATTTCAGGCCAATGGAATGGCTGTTATATAACATGAAGTTACGAATTCTGGCAGCTCAAGGCAGACCACCACCATGGCTGTTTTTAGAGAGCTGGTAAGATGTGCTGATTTAAGGAAAGTGAAACAGATGTGATGACCGCTTTCGGAGGCATCCATGTGTGGGTTTGACAAACTAGGACTAGAAGACATAAAACTCCAAATCATTTGAAATGGAAATGCTTCCACACTCCATGCTGAAGAACATTAACAAAAGCTTAGCACAGAGAGAGGAGGTCTGTTGGCTGATGTCAACTGGTACTTTGTGCCATTAGCTGGTCTGGGACTGGCAAAGTGAAGAAGCCATCAGCAAGTCTGCTAGGAAACAAAATGAAACGAGACAAGAGTCCCCCAGTCACTGAAGCCAAGTGATAATGATTTCATGAAAAAAGGGACGTGTGCACAGTGACAAATCTGCAGGCAACCCCAGGTGCCTTTTCGAAGGAAAGGAATTGAATGAAGTTTATTAGGTATTGAGAGGTCCTCATGAAATTTTCAGGTAAGTAACTAAGTTTTAATACAATTCCAAGAAGTCAATGTGACTCAAATGTATTCAAGGTGGCAGGATCAATACCGATTCAAGATTTGACATCATGGGGCTATGCTTTCAGGCAATGATTCGTTGGGGTGCTTTATTACACCTGCAGTAAGAAACAAAATTAGAGTGGCGTGGTATAGCAGGGACAAGGAAAGCTGAGTGGGAGTCAGGAGACTGTGATTCTGTCTTGACTTCAATAGCTTGGCGACTCTGGAAGCTCTTTTACCCTCCTGTGCATCTCGGTCCCTTACCTGCAGAAGACGCACGGCTTGTTCCGTCTGCGTTAACTGGCATGAGGATCAGGCTCAAGAAGGGATAGGAAAGAGCTCTCAAGCACTCTCTAATTATAAGGCATTCTCCTAATTTCATGAAAATCATAATGATGGAGACAATCACAAGGTTTATGGAGCATGGCGAGGGTGCAGGGTCCCGAGACTTGCTGGCCTGCCATTAACCAGTATTTTAGAAACCAGTAACATAGCATTTTGGAAACTGTCCTGAAGTCTGGCTTTTTTCATTTTGTCATATAAAAATCTGCAGCATGACATGTAAAAAAAAAAAAAAAAGGCTAGAAAAGAATGATCTCTCTTCTAGAGGATGACAATTGCTTTTAATAAAAGGAATCACCTCCCTAGACATCCAGAGTATCCATCTTCTTAGAGCTGAAATCATTTTATTAGGAATGAACAACACGTGCCCAAATGGATAAACAGAGTAAGGGTGCAGATTACATGGCAACAAGTCAGGCAGCAAGTTTTGATACTCTATGTTCAGTGCGCAAGATGAAAGACTCCCAGGGGGAAAACACTGTTTACATAATCTTTATAAATATCTCTTCTTTTTATACTTATCATACTTTGGTGTCATTATGCACAGCCGAGTGAAAAGATGAACTCCCACTCACCTCTGAAATGCAAGAAGCGCCTTTCTCTGTAGGACCTCCTGCATCCCTCGCAAAGAAGCTAAGAAAAGGGTTCAATTAGTCAGTGGCATGGAAGATCAGGGAGCTTTTGACAAATACAAAGCTCATCATAAAACCTATACATTCAACTGGATCAAAAGCAACATGTTTCTGGTGCCTGCGTGCCCAGTCTTCTCCAAGCACCGGGCAATGAAGCCCAGGCCAACCCCGGACACGTGCACTCAGTGGGCACCACTGCAGAGCCATGCCGGGGAGGAGAGTATGAGTTGGCCGGGCACCATGATGCCCGAGGCATTGGGGGCTGCTGTCAGAAGACCAGTTGGGAACTCCAGAGAGGAGCACACCTGCTCTCTCAAGCGCAGGCATGTGGCTTCTGGGTGAGGACTGCCTCTACTGGGTGGTACGGGAAGAGATTCCAGTACCAATGGTGTTGACTAGAGACAGCCTTCAGAGTTCCTTCTGGCACTGAGTAGCTAGGATACTGGGCCAAGGGAACTAGCTTGATGCCATAAAAGGCCTGTTCAGGTCACACTGGACAATGGCCAGGACCTTTAATACCTTGATGTAAACACAAGGGAGAGACCAGGCAAACCCTCAACACTGATGCTAAAAAATCAGCTGAAAAGTGTGAGGCCATCTTGCTGTGAGCCCACAAGTCCCCTGTAGAGAGTATGTGAGAAATGGTGCCCTTCGCGTCTGTCAGGGGAACTACGAAGGTACTTTTTACTGGGGCAAGAGCAAAAGTCCTGGAAGAACTGCTTGCAGGTGGAACTGGAGAGGCCCTATCGAACATCCCCGTGGGGCCATTCCACTGGGAAAGGAGGAAGGCCGTCCCAGAGACAGATGTGGCTGTAACCACAGCGAACTCAGAACAACAGTGACTAAGCTAGACGGAACCTCAGGTGACCCAACTGAACCATGAATGCAAGAGGAGGATCAACAAGGTCAAGCAACTGTCCCAAAGCTACAGGGCTCATGAGGGGTAGGATCCGAACTAGGAATCTGTATGGATAAATATATGGCATTACATTCACACTTCACTGAAAGTCCACTATAGTTAAAACAAGGTGCTGGGGGGTGTAGCTTATCATGTGTGCAGGAAAAATTAGCCAAAAAAGCCATTACTGAAAATCCAATTGATAATGCAAAACTTTTCTAAGGTCTCTGCTATTTTACGGCAGAGGAAAGAAGGCTTTGGGGTAATTTGTAAAATAAACTATAGCAAAACTATAAAAAAAGAAAAAGAAAGCGAATACTATAAAAGTCAGTGAGTGTTTTCTCTTCAGGGGGCCTGTGATGGGGAGGAGGCCCATGAAAAGTTCCCCAGGAGGCTGGCAAGGTTCTACCTCCTGAGCAGGGTCATGATTACACAGATTAATAATTAATAATTCATTAATTATACACTGGTTTTTGAAAAAATTTTTTTACATTTGTATTATATTTAACAATAAAATGTTAAAAGAAATATTAAGAGTTCAGGAAAATAATTTATTAATTTATACTTCCTGCAAATATAATTGAAAACTTCATTAAGGATACAAAACATAATCAAGATTTTTAAAAAATAGCCAGAGTCCCCAAGTTCTATGTACATCCAAAATGCATGCGACCGCATGAGTGTTTGGTAAGCTGCTGCACTGCATGTGTATATATCTGTGAATTAAAATGTACTGACAGAGAAGGGGCATCCTAAGCAATCAAGGGAAGCTTACTGGAGGAGGCTGGCCCTAAACTCATCCACATTCCTGTGCCTAAGATACAACATCTCCTCTCATAGGGACAGCCCAGCCAAGTGCTGGGGTGGACACAGGTACAGGCTGGGTTAGGGGAACCATCTCTCAAGGCCCTGCTCACCTTCACCTCCCAGCAGGTGCCCTGCGCCTGTCAGCTGGGCACTCTCTGCACCACCAGCACAATGCACCCGGCACCCAGGACCTTCGTCCCTGCTCTCCGATTTCTCCAACCAGTCCAAGCAAAAAGGGCAGCAGCAGCAGGTTCCCACATGATGGCACGCCCGGGTGACCCAAAGTATGTGGCCTCCTGCGACAGTCCTCTGTGGGGACTGTGGGAACCCTGCAGTGCAGACTTAGGCAGCCCAGCCCTGTGGCTCCCAGATCCCAGAGGGTGGGGCCTCTCTCACCGTCAGTGGCCTGCAGACTGTACGTGAGCCCCAGAGCTAAGTAGCCTTTGGCCTTGAACTCTGACGTTTTCTCTCCCGCATCCACGACGGTTTTGGCAAACTTCTCAGCCTCTTCCAACTGAAAAACCAGACAAGTTAAAAACAACAATGACCTGCAGAATTTCTAACATGAGTTCCCATAAGCATCTGCTGCCAAAAACAGATTTCTGATGAGTCACTGTGAAAATCACTCCCAAATCTTCCGACTCCACTGTGGTGATTCTGTTTTCTTTATTTGAGTCTCTCCAACAGTCCTCAGGGTTCCCACCTTGCCTTTTTTCTTTAACGTTTTCCCTACTGCTTTTTTACCTTCTTTTCCAAAGTCATTCTCATTCTTGTTGGGGGGGGGAGTTCCATCTTTTCATCTTTATTTTTTACTAATTGGTTGTATAATTAGGCTGTGTTAGGTATTCAGTGCATTTTATATATATATATATATATATATATATATATATAAAATATAAACTTTTTAAAACTTTCTGTATATGGTCTGTTTTTGTTTTTTTTTTTTTTTTTTTTTATGACAAAAAGAATACATTTAGGTTTGGATTCTCTTTTCTACAAGCTGTTCAGAACTCCCGTTTATTTTACAACGCACAGCACAGGGACCCCGCATCAGCAGATTCCAATGAGAAAATGTGCACCTGTAAACTACACCCACAATAAGACCTTTGGCACAATTCATTAGAAGCCAAAATAATAAGATTCCTTCCTTCAAAATATGGCCAATGTTGAGGTCCCTGAAGCTGGGTGAGAGTACCCGGGAGTTCATTATACTCTTTACTTTTGTGGAGTTTGGAAATTTTAATAATAAAAATGTAAAAAAGAAAAGATTTGTTAGGCTCATCTTTAAAAAAAACAAAAAAAGAGTCCAGTTTATTTTTGGCTTTAGAGATCTATGTGACAGTCATGAACAATGCCATAGCTGGAAGGGGCGCGACAGAGTCATGGCTGGGAACTGGCATTTTCAAAGCTGCAGGGTCTGGCCTGCTCCCCTGCCTGTGGCTGGAGCCTGCCTGCATTGTTCCCTCGCTGGTGGCGCCAAATGGTCGCATCTTGCACGGACCACACGACACCTTCACAGCTGTGAGCTTCAGGTGAGAGCCTGCTCTTTCAAAATGTCTTTTTCCTTCCATATTTCCCCCAGTCAAATTTAGCAGAAGTAGAACACTTTCTCACAAGGCTTACTTTTGTCCTGCTGGGTGAGGATAAATGGAAAAAAACAGGCAGCAAGGACCGTCATGGTGAAGACCCTTAGCAAGGCACCGTGGTCTTTTGAGCAAATTCTTCTTATAATTAATCTTGATAGGAAGTTAAAGAAATTAAAACTGGATCGTATGTGGTAATTATCTGTACCACTACCTCATAGGTTAGTCTGGGGTTTCCTATTTTCCACTCAAATGGTATAGTATCAGACCTGTTACAAACCAGACGAGTCCCCAATTCAAATCTGTGCAAGAATATCTGAAGAGGAAGGTCTATATGAAGGAAGAGGAATGAGCACGGTTGGTTTACACATGAGCTGGAGTAGAGGGTGACTCTTTGCTTTACAGAACAACTCAGCTCTGCTAAGAGTGAGTCATTCAGTGACATAAACCTTTTCAGTCCCGTACCGCCTGCATACACAGCAAGACTTACATGAGTATGAATTCCAATTCTATTTTACCAATTCAACTTTTGAAGCACATTCCCATGAAAAAGAAACACCTGGAGTATCCCAGGAACATGATTCCCCTCAGTCCTAGGATGGGTGGGTGAAGCCTGAGGGGGCCTGGGGGCCCGGGCTCTGAAGAGCCTTGTTTTTGTGTAGCTGATGGATTGCTACTCTCTCTTTTCTCTCAGTGCCTTGAGGTGGAAGAGGTTGGCAGTGCTGCCTGTGAGCACAGGGCCCCAGCCCTACTCACCCAGTGAAGAGACCCCATGCACAGCTTCGCGGCGAGGAGCGGGATGGTGGCATCGTCGGGCTTCAGACGGATACACTCTTTCAGCACCTTCACGGCCCGTGCAGACTTGGCAAAAGGAGATTATTTCTGTGAAACTCAAAAGTTTTTGACGGAACCAAACACTAAGGCCTTCCCTGAGGGGTTCTGGTTAGGAAGCCTGTTAATGAGGTTTTTCAACCTGGAGGCCTGAGGATGGCGACAACCAGAGTGTGGGGCTCTTGAGTGACCAGGGAGTAACCTGTGGTTAGAACAAGCAGAGGTGCTTCCCTGGAATCACCCTCATTTTCTTCCTTACTTGTGTAGCCATTAGAAAAATAAGAAAAAAAAAAAAGGAAAGACAATGAAGGCTTATTAAGTTATTATGAAAAATAAACTATATAATTTTAGAGCACACTATCCTAAATTTCTGCCTCCACTTGGCCCCCAAAATCCCCTATCTCAGACTTACTAAGTCACTAAATGGCCCGAGTTAACAAGAAGAACAATGGCTCCTCCCTTTATTGTGTGTGTACTGCGTGGGGGCTGCTGTCCACGCATCTCACGGGTGTTACCTCATTTACCTAGAACGGTTCTATGAGGGAGGTGCTGTGATGCTGCACTTTGCCCAGGGGGACATGGAGGTACTAAGTGACCTGGCCTGGGTCAAGGCCTCAAACCCAGCAGCTGGACTCCACAGCCCACGCTTTCGACCAGCATCATACGCTGCCTAATGTGATAGGTTGCTAACGACCACTAACGGTGTCCCCCTCCAGGAATACAGTTATGCTCTCAAATATGTGAAAGGGTCCGTGTGAAGAAGCAGGCTTGGTTTAAGCCCGTCTTCATAGGACAAAGTTACAAGGGCCAGTAAAAGGCAAACATGTCAGATTTTTTCTTCTCCATGGTGTGTCCATGCCGGCTCCCAAATCACTAAATTTGATTGCCCTCTTACAAATGACCACAGGACAGCTTCGAATAGCTGGTTTAGACTTCTCCAAGGTCTGATATCACCCCTTGGAATTCCGGGACATGAACACTAACAGCGAGGATGGCGCATCCCAAGGGGCGACTCACTTTTCCCGCGGCCATGAGAGACAGAGCAAACTGGTACCAGAGCTGGAACTCCTCGAAGGCAAACTTCATGGCTCTTTCCAAGCACTGGTCAAAGAGAAGAACAAATGCAGGCATCTGAGAACTGCCGGGGGCACAACTGGATGAGTGTGAGTTTGTGTCTACGCACATTCAGTCCTACAAAACCTAAGCATTCCCTTGAATGCTTAAAACAGAATCCTTCACCAAACCCCTCCTAAGGAGCCCCCCACGGGGGCTGTGCCAGAAGCCAGGACCATCCACAGTTGACCAGAATACAATCCTTGATCTCAAGTGGTTTCTCATCCAGGACAAAGAAAGAGGCAGGGACACAAACAACTCAAACACAAGGCCCAGACAGACAAGTGCCCCAAGCGTGGGAAAGTAATCACAGGATTCAGAAATGGCATCCTGGAAAAATGCTCCTTGAGCTGGGCCTTGATTAATGAGAAAGAAAAAAAAATGCAGCTATGATTTGGAAGAGGGGCATATGAACAGAGACGTGGAGGTGACAGGGTACGCTCCGCCTCGACAATGGCAGGTGGACCAATATAAACCTAGCTTTGGGCACACAGGCAGGGATGGGTGGAATCAGGCAAGGCAGGTGTGGGCTGGGCCCAAGTCACAGAAAGTCTGATACGGCAGCTCCGTTTCAAGGATGTTCCATCTCCCTCTTCCATCCCAGCTTTGGTTCTCCTTCCTCTGTGTTCCTCAAGTTCGTCACTGTACATTAGTGTCACTGTCTTCACGCCTCCTGCCCTAGCCTGGCCATATCCCACTATGAGAAACGATCAAGGGCAGAAATCCTGACTTCTCTGTCACCTCCGTACCTGCCCGGTGGGTAATCTACAAACACACTTCACTCTCTGTCAGTGAGGAGCCTCTGGTTTCTGCACCGAGTGATAATAATCACATCAGAGCTTTAGGAAGGTCATTTGGGGGGCCGGGGGAAGGTTGTGCAATCAGAGTGGAGACAGACCAGGAATAAAGTGCATAGAATGGTCCAGGGACTTAAGAACCAAGAAATGTGTCTGAGTAGGAAGCAGCAAAGACAGGCCACCCAAGGAAGGGGGTGGGATGGCTGGTCAGGCGTAGGGACTGAAGGAGGCCTCCAAAGTCTCTGGGAGCAAACCCGTGGCAGAGAAGATCCTTGTGTATGCACATGTGTGCACATGTGTGTGTTTATGAAAGAGAAAGAGAAAATTTTTAGAATAAAAGGAGAATGTGGAAGAAAGGTTTTTTTTTTTTTTAATGAGCTTGGTAAGGAACATGGTGGGCTTGAGGTGTCATGTGGTGACTTACTAGAGGTAATTAGAGACAAACTGGGGCCTCAAGAGAAGATCTAACAAAAGACATACATTTGAGCTGAAAGAAATTAAAGGCATAACAACATGGATGGACCTTGAGTACGCGATGCTCAGTGAAATAAGTCAGTCACAACAAGATAAATATCATGATTCCAGTTGTATGAGGTACTTAGAGCAGTCAAAATCATAGAGACAGAAAGTAGGATGGGGGTGCCAGGGGCAGGGGAGGGAGCGTTTCATGGGCACAGAGTTCCAGGTTTACAAGCTGAAAAGCATCCTGGAGATAGAGGGTTCTGATGACTGCACGACACTGAGGCTGTGTTTCACGCCACCCAACTGCACACTTTGAAATGGTTAAGGTGGTAAGATATGTATTTTGCCACAAGAAAGGTAACTGGGGGAAAAGTACATTTGAGAAAACAGCTAACACCATCAGGAGAGGTTGGAGAACATGAGAGGAGTGCTCGCAGGAAGGGCAGCTGGGGCAGGGCCTTGGGAAGCATCTCAGCTTCAGGGCCAGGAAAGGAGACGCACGCGGGGTCTCAGGGTGGAGACAATGAGAGGGTCAGGGCGCTGGGGGTCCAGAGGCCCCGGGCCAGGCAGCGGGTGGCCGAGCTCGGGGAACACGGTTCTGGGGTGCGCTGGAGGGCACCACCCGGGGAACAGAGAAAAGGAGGTGAGCAGTGAAGGACAGGATGTGTGAAGCACACGCCTGCGGGAGGAAGACCGGAGGCTTATCTAGCGCTATCTTTCCAAGGAGGCAACCTGAGCCCATCGAGCAGACAAGGCCCCTGGTATAAGGCCTTCTCTTCAGAAGGCAGGCTCTAGAAGCTGAAGAGGAGAGCGCCTTCCTGGCTGTCCGACCCAGCCACTGTCTTCTCGGCAAAGGTGGGATGAAGTGGGCGTGGGAGCAGAGAAACGGAATAGGGCTGGGAGTTTTCAGAAAAGCTCTAAACAACTCCACCCTGTGGGGACAGAACGCTGACATCAGGGTCACCTTGGGGACTGGGGTGTCGGGCGCTGGCGTCTGCAGCACGGGGGCTGCCAGTTCTCCCTAGTGATGCTCTGTAGCCAGCCCGGGGCAGAGGGGGAGTGACAATGGAAGTCTCAGGACTAATGGATGGACACACAGGGAGGGGCAGGGGGCTGGGGGATGCAGGAGCCACAGAGAGGGCGACAGACTGCAGGAAATGATAAAGGCGGGGTGAGGAGGTGGGAGAGAATTTTGGGTGATATTTACATAGAAGTTCCCAGCAAAGAGTATGCTAGCTGGTTTATTGTGAAAACCTGCCCAAACAGAAATATTTTAAAAAGTGAAGTAGTTAGCATTTAATAAGCACCACATATGTGCCTAGTGATGGTGGGATGGGCATCTGCAGATCCCAAGCAAGAAGAACACTTAGTCCCTCATTTTGATCACATTGGCAACGTGCTTAGCCAAAATCTGTGGACATGTGACTTCATTCTGGACGATGTGACGTCAGCAGAGGCCGCTGGGGAGCCTCCAGCAGGAGGGCTGTCCCAGCTGGCACACACTCTGCCCTCAGCCCTGGCAAGAGTATGAGAATGACAGCCACTCTCTAGAATGTCTAAGCAAAAAGAGAGAAAGCGCTGGGTCCCGGAGGCCGTGATGTGCTGTGGCTGTGACTGCAGCCTTTCCCCAGACTTGTTGTCATAGGGGGAGAAATTCACTCCTATTTGGTTAAGTCACTGCGAGCTGGTTTTGTTAATTACATCTGGTTACATCCCTCACTAACACAGACACTAAACGGCAGAGCTGGGATCTGAACCTGACCCCAGAGCCCTCTAAACAGCTCTACTATACTGACAAGAACAGGGAGCCCTTAAGAAGCACCTTGGAAATAAAAACTAAAGCCTCTTGATGAAAAGATCAAGTAGGCAAGATGCACAGAGGGGAGACCTAATCCAGGTGTGAGGTGGAAGGGGCTGGCGAGGAGTGGGGGACGACGGGTGCTATGGAGAGAGCACCAAGGGACGAAAAGCCAACAGTACTTGGAAACTGAGTCGGGGGATGAGGGGCGGTGGGAGAGGAGGGACCAGGAACCATGATCACGTAGGTGGAATTAGGCAAAGGAGCCAGTGTGTGGAGGACGTAGATGACGATCAAAAATGAGGTTTGTCCTAAAAGCTCTACGCAACCAGCTCATTGCAATATAACCACTAAGTACTTAAATATATACACAGAAACATTTAAATGTTTAAATGCTTTTCTTCCCCCTATTGCTAGGAGGAATGATAAATATCAACTGTTTTCCCAATAAACAAAAGGAGCTCAGCCGCTGACAGCCTGTTCTGAATCAGAAAGCTAGATGCTATAAATAAGTGTGCACTCTTATTTTCTTTTGTGCCAAAGGCTAACACACTCATTATACTCACTGATAAACACTTTCTGGAAGCCTAATTGGTATAGAGCTCCAATCCATGTTCTATCAGCCATGGTACCAGGAAACTCCAGAGACTCTTGGGGCTATGAGGGAACTTGAGAAACATCCAGTTGAGGTCCCAAAAGGAAAAGACATTTGTCACTTTGGCTTCCTCTCACCTCAAAACTCTTCTGATTTTTTTGTTTTGGGAGTTGGGGGTATACCCTAGGAGGAAAGCAGCTACTCCACCTGCCAGTAATAAAGCTTGAAGGAAGGAAGGAGCGTGTCACGTGACCCAGACAGAGCCAGGCAGACGCTCCTGCCAGAGCCCCGCCTCTGGAGCAGGGAGGGAAGCGCTGGGATGTTTTTCCCGGTGGCCGGGCCTGGGGGCCACAAGGGCAGCAGGGTCGGTGGAGGCCCTTGAGCCAGGGGTGTCCTCCCAAACTGGGCCAGGGACCTTGCCTTCTTAATTTCTGCTCACGCCCATTCTTCAGTCTTCTCTGGATTCTGTTAGCAGTACACATGGATGAATGCCTTTTCTGCTTGGGTGAACTAGTCGGTTTGACTACCTACAACCACGGCCCTGAAGGTACACCCAGTCATGTGCTTTAGGCTCTTGCAAACGACCCCTGCCTCCTAGCCCCCAAGTAGTTGTACAATTTCTGCCCGAGAAGCTGGCCAAAGAGGGAATTCAGAACCTGAACAGCAGCTAGAAGTCGGGCACCACCACAGACTGAGTGTGTGGATTTGGGCAAGCCGATTAACCTCTCTATAACCAGATTCCTCACTGTAAAGTGGGAAATATAATAGTAATTAATGGAGAGAGTTATCAGGAAGATTAAATTAGTTAATACATATAAGCAATAAGAACAGTACCTCGGATATGGGCTACTAAGTATTAGATAAAGGTTAGCTATTAGCTGTTTTTGAAAATTTAATATTCTTATAATTAAGAAAGAAACTGTAGAATACCTATCACTTTATCTAAATTTAATGAAAATTTTAATATGAAAGTTCAAATTTATAATATATCAGAAATCATTACTTACTTTACAAAGTGCTTCCTCATCTTAGAAAAGGATTCAATATGAGAACCTTGAAAATAGTACTCGATTTTACAGAACCAGACTAGAATATATGTTAATTATTTATTTCTTTAACAAGTGGTATGGACTGAATGTCTGTGTCCCACATTCATGTTGCAACCTAATCCCCAGTATGATGGTGTTAAGAGGTGAGGCCTCTGGGAGGTGATAAGGTCGTGAAGGTGGAGCCGTCAGGAATGGGATTAACACCATCATAAAAGAGGAGAGATGCCTTGCCCCCTCCACCATGGGGGGACACAGCGAGAAGCCCACAGTCTGCAGCCTAGAAATGG